ATACAGCAGTGAATGCGGGAAATCTTCTTACAGATGGAGCAGATACTGTATGCAACAGTGATGTAGTTCTACAGAATGATGCTGAGAATACTATAGATGGAACATGTGAGCTACGAGGAAGTTTTAATAAAAATGAAACAAAAAAGGGACGCTTATACTTTCGACTCAGAAAGAGACACTTGAAATTTCTATGACACCATTTAATCATTTGCATAAGGTAACCATTTAATCATTTAAATAAACCAATTATTTACATATGCTTATAAAGAAGGTTATTTGATGCTTTGTCCCTCTTGCCTTCAATAAGTCCAATGGGTGTTAAATTTTCCAAGCCCTCTTTTCTCATGTGCCCTAGAAAATTCAACTGTATCTTTCTGATGCGATGTATAAGTGTTCTTTTTGCTTCCATTTTCGTTCATATGTTCCGTCCATGATTTCCTCAGCATCTTTCTGTAGAAGCATATATCTGTTGACCAGTTCTCTTCTTCATCTGTGATTGTCCAGCATCCAATGCTATATAGGAAGACTGATATTATATATTAGTACTCTTTGTTTCTAATGAAAGTTTCCTATGTCTTAATACTTTACTTAGATTCTGGAGGGCATCTTTCGCTGTCCCAATGCAACTTCGGATTTCGGTGTCACATTATCCGTCTTCTGTTAAAACACTTCCCAGATATTTAGATTTTTGTATTTGTTTGATTTTTGTGTCTACAGCTTATAATTCGAATAGTATAATGTAAAGTATTCGATTATTATTTTGGGATCAAATAAATTAATGCAATACTGTGTTACTAGCAAGGACACCCGGTGCTGCCAGGGTAAAAATATATCCAAAAATAACTTAGATATTTTTTTTCCTTACACAGCAAATAAAAAAAAACACAAAAAAATTATTTATACTAATTCTATGTGGAATTGTAGCTGAAAAGTTTCCTCTGGTGCCTTATAAACAAGACAAATGTCGTCTCCTGGTTTGCACAATATTAATGATTCACCTACTGAATGCTAGGGTGAAAACTTCGTCTTGTGGTGGAACAAGCAGTAGCGTGCAGGAGAGGTCAGAGGGTGTGAGGACCCCGGCCATTCATATCAGGACGAAATCCAATCAAAGAGTGAAATAAAAATTTAGTTTATATTTAATTTGAATAAAGCTTTTATTTCATGTCTCATCTGCATATATATTTAAAATGTCTTCCTTTCTCCCATTTCTCAGTACTAGCCACCACCCCACACACACACTTGAGTCTTAGGGGCATACAATCAAGAATTTGGCCTCGGATATCAACAAACATCACCAAACCTCTGCACGTCACCGGCTACATGAAACTAATGTCAGTTAAAAAACAATTTCAAGATGTTCTTTCTGCCTACAAATTACATAACGTCCGTCCTGGGTAAGACGATAAACTACGTCCAACAGCAATGCCTCTGATCAGGGGGTTTTGTGGAACGTGGAACCACCTCTGAAAGTGTAAAAATAGATTTTAATATCAGAAATACTTTGTAAAAAAGTTATTACTAGCAATAAGGTTTTGAAGAAAAAAATTATAACCAGCAATACATTTTTGAAAAAAAGATATTACCAGCTATACTTTTTAGAAAGAAAAAATTACAAGCGGTACATTTTTGAAGAAAAAATATTTCCAGAAATACATTTTTGAAAGAAAATAAATTACCGGTTATACATTTGAAAAAAAAAAAATACCAGCAATAAAAATTATGCCGGCATTAAATAACCCATTGAGGTTGATATGCCGTAAAACAAACCAAACCAAAACAAGTTACCTAACGTGCAATTTTTAAATGTGTGAAAAAGACCTTAAACCTGAATAATATGTTTAATATTCTTTCACCTTTTTTAAATGCGGAATTGTCACCATTATCATGGTCACTGATGGAACCTTTGTGTTGCTGTGAGACAGCCACACGCTACACACTTTCATTCAAAGCACCACTATAACAATGGAAGTGAGCGACGTTTCTTTCCAGGTTCCGCCCAAAGACCTAAGGTCAGAGATGGCATCATGACATTTTCCACTGACCAATTAAAACACACACACACACACACACACACACACACACACACACACACACACACACACACACACACACACTTTTTACATAGATAAAGCTCTTCGTAAGGTGTGGGCTGTACTCGTGAGAACAATTTTTTGTATCTCTTTGAGGCATGGACTTCCAGGAATCCCTTCAATTAGTCTACTGGAGTCTTTTCCAACCAATCCGAGGAATCCAACTACAACAGGGATTGTTGATGTTCCCATGTGCCACACTTTTGAGATTTCGATTTCAAGGTCCTTGTATTTTGATAGCTTTTTGATGATCTTCAAAGATCTTCTGCTATATCAATAAGGAGGCATTTTTTTGTTTGCAGTCTCTAATAACAATTGTCTCCCGCAAACAAAAATTATTATTATTATTATTAGCTTCGATATATTTACATGTTCACACCAGATGTCTTGTGTTTCTTGGGAAAAATTAAATGACAAGAGACTTCTTCTAAACATCCACCATTTCTCTGTAAGCCAAGTGCGCCAATTATTATTGGTATTATCTATTCTTTCGTCTTCACCCTGTGGTTCAAGGTCACAGCTCTATATACGATCTGGTTGGTTACGTTTTCTTTCTTTACGATTATTAAATACTGGGTTGGTTGGACCAGACGGATTTGCGTAGGATGTACAAGCGTTTAAAAAACAGGGAGATATATAAGCACACACCATAGAGGGGAAAAAAGAGAGTCTCTTATAAGAATGTAGAGTCCATGTTCGATGAAGGTCTCAAGGCCACATACTCACTGGTCAAGGGTAATTGGCAAAGTCTGAGTGAAATAAACAACAACAGTGAGTACTAGCTGAAAATATACATAGCGGTCAGAAAGTCTTGTCACCCCCCCTACCCAAAAAAGAAATGAGAACAAGTAATACAGTAGTACAAAGCACATGTACTGGATTCAGTTTATTCACTTTCATTGACGCTTTCACACGTCGAGAAAGTCTGTATGAATGTCATCATTTTCGTGTCAGCCATCTGAAATATTTCTTTTCTTTTTATGTGCCATGTCCTTTCGGAACGTAGGCGAACATGGCTCTCCACCTCTTCCCCTATCTCTTGTAGCTCTCAGAAAATTCCTTCCATCTGCTACCTCCCCCAGACCACCTTCTGTCATCCACTTGCTTAACGACACCAGGGATGTCACGCGCTGTTTTCCCTTGTCTCTCTTTCCCTTTATTCGACCTGTGAATATCAGATTCTCCAAGCCCTCCTTCCTCATTATGTGTTCCAGAAACTTCAGCTGCCTCTTCCTGATGTTAAGTATAAGCCCCCACCACACCTTGTTTGCATCTTCTCTAAGATCTCATCGTTGCCCACATGCTCGATACATGATATCCTTAGCATCCTTCTGTAGAACCACATCTCTGTCGTTTCTTTATCTTTGAGGAAATCGTCCAACATTCAAAGGACAGATGTCACGTAACAGCTCAGTATTCTTTGTTACCAAAGAAATCCTCTTGTCCCATAATACTCTGCTCAGCTTTTGGAATGTGTCCTTGGCCATCCCAATACGTCTACGGATCTCAGTGTTGCACTTACAGTCCGCTGTCAAAACACTTCCCAGATCCTTAAATCTCCGCGTCTGCTTTGATTCTAGTATTCCTGACCTGCAAATCGCATTTCGGACTCATCCTTTTACTGATGACCCTGCATTCTGTCTTCTTGGAGTTTATGCTTAGTCCCTTCTTCTCATTATCCATCGCTACCTTCTGTAGAAGATTTTGTTGAAATAGAACATTATATTATGTAGGGGTAACAAGACTTTCAAACTCCCCTGTAGAATTTCTACGGTTAACAGGTTGGTACTTGGCATATTATCTTTTCATTTAAATGGGGATAAAATGTAAACATTTGTTAAATACCCAAATAGTCACATACTGCATATCGTGTTTTTCTTTTCTCTGCCCCTTTTTTGTTTCCATTCAAAATATTCTTTGTTACAGATATTTTATCGAGTGATTTCTAGTTTGCATTCTTTTCCTTTTATATATAAAGGTTGTTCCAATAACTTGGACCGATTTTAAATGTGAATTAAGTTTAAGTATCTAATGATTTTTTTCTTTTTCTTTCAGATTTAAACAACTTAAGTCTTTGGCAATTTCAACCATGGAAAGATTAACAATCAAACAATGTGTTAAAGTTATTGAAGCCTTTTTTCGAAAATGGACGTTCAAACAAATGCAATGAAAAGTTCCCTGGTCGCATCATCTCTCAAAACAGCGAAGTCAATTGGCCACCACGGTCGTGCGACTTGACGCCTTTAGATTTCTTCCTTTGGGGTCATCTAAAAAATAAGGTCTTTGCCAACAAGCCAACAACAATTCAACAGCTAAACGATGAGATAATAAGGCATATTGATGAGATCGAGGAGCAACTATACAGAGACGTCATCAAAAATTTTGACCATCGATTGGAGGTGTGCCGCCGAAGCTTTGGCGGACATTTGGGCGATATTATTTTTCACACATAATTGCCATGACTTAAATAACATGATCCAATGGAGAAATAAATAAATTTTCACCAATAACACTGATTTATTTAATGCTGACTTTGATCCGTCTTAATGAAACACCCTTATATATAATCTGTCTTAATGAAACATCCTTTATTACCCGGCCTGTGAAAATATGTCGGCATATTTCCGTCAGGCCTTACATCCCTTCAAATTTACACTAATTATAGTTAATTAATTGAGGGTATAACGGGATCTGGAGAGAAGTAGCACCCTTGTAGTTTAGCTGCTGCTTTCTGAGCGTTGTAAGGACAGGCGCACTGGTCCCTCCTCCATCCTCTAAATCTTATGTCTGGATCCATGTGCTACACCCCGGTAACTCGCCTCGACAGGACGGGTGGTATTGACACGGCACCATTAGGTTTAGGACATTACTGCAAAGGTTCTCGCTCAAGGTGCGGAGTTCGGAGACGGATGATCGCGGACCCGTGTCTTTGGTCAATGAGCTGCTTATCCCTGCCCGGATATCGGAGGAAGTCGGCTGTGGTGTGCTGAGGAACAGTCAGAATCATAATATGATGAGAGATCTAGTCTCGCATTTTATTTTTTATCGCTCGGCACGACGATAATTATACAAGTGTCTTACTCTCTATTTGCTTGCCTGCATATGTCTCGAAAAATTCGCAATTACTATAAGTGACTACGGAAAGCAGGGCATGCTGGTGGTGTAATGGACAGCGGATCAGAATGAGAAACAGGAGAGCCGAGTTCGAATTTCAATCAGTTTCGTCACGTTCACTTATGCGCAAATACCGTTGGGGAAGGTATGGATCCATATCCCCCACATCTATGGGTTAAGTAGTAGGACTTGTTTCTGGAAAAACTTTTGTTATTCTCAAAAAATTGTTAATGTAATATTTACCGAAAAAATAGAAATAGAATTATTTTTACAATCCAAAATATGGTTCGGTTTTAAATAACCCACAAAAGGTTGATAATCCGTAAAAAAAAATTAATCACTCTGAAAGGGAAAGCAGTGGACCAAGGAACAAATAATTAAGTTTGCGATCAAATCCTGAAATATTTGTCAATATTGAACAATATTTTAGCTTTATTTCTTATATCACTAAACAATATTATAACAATAGCAACGTGATTACTTTTTAAGATAAGGTATTATACATTATGAAATGGACAAAGTCCGACAATTATTTTAAGACATTTTATGTTTATACATTCTTTTTATAGATACAGACATTTAAGTAAATGCTCTGTTCATAATAAACAACATTTACCGTCCTGAATGCCCGAGAAATTTTCATAGAAAATATTCGTTCTCCGACAGAATATACGGAACCGTCATATAGTCTGACGTGCCTTTTAACCGATTCGGCCATAGAGGAGCGTTCGGTTAGCAAAGTCGAATTTACTGCTTTTAAACTTCAATCATCAATGAATCTCTCACATGCATTCATATCTGCTCATGGCGTATCAAATGTAAACAAATGACGTCACAAATTATGAAATGGACAACGTTTAAAAGTTTAAAAGCAGTAAATTCGACTTTGCTAACCGAACGATCCTCTGTGGCCGAATCAGTTGAAAGGAACGTCAGCGTAAATGACGGCTCCGTGTAGGATACAGGTTCGAATCCTATCGGAGGACGCATATTTTCTATGACAATTTCTCGAACATTCAGGCTGGTAAATGTTGTTTAATACTGTTTATTATAAACTGAGCATTTAGTTAAATATTTGTATCTATAAAAAGAATGTATAAACATAAAATGTCTTAAAATAAGGTATTATATCTATTCAGATAAAAAAGATATAACATGGTCTGATTTTTATATCACTAAACAATATTATAACAATAACAACGATATAATAATAATAATAGCAACGTGATTTTTTCTTATTATTTTATTACATTATTTATTAATGAATAATTATTTATTTATTTAGTGTATTTAGTTTTATGGTTACAGCCATATCACGTTGAAACACCGGGTCCTCACGTTCACCGAAATTAAACAACGTCGAGCCTGTTCAGTACTGAGATGGGTAACCGCTTGGGAATACTTGGTACTGTAAGCCTGGACGTGCGGGTGGTGTAATGGATAACGTTCGGAATTTGTTAACTGATGAGCCGAGTTCCAATTCCAGTTGGGTTCGTTATATTCACTTACGCGCAAATAGCTTTGGGAAAGAAATGAATCTACCTCTCCTCCACCCCCAGCTATGGGTTAATTAGTAATGCTTGTATCACAATAGAAGTAGACAGGTTCTCTCATAGTCTTGTTCTTACGCCTTCCCAGTCTTTTGAACAGGTGCAGAGGTTCGAACCTTGTTTCCTGTTTAGGATTAAGTTTCCGGATCCTTCTAAAGTCTACGACCAGAAGGGTCGGTAACCTACGGTACATGTGCCGCGAGTGGCATGCCAGACAATTTCCAATGGCATCCAGACGCAAATGACATCACGAAGTCCGAACCAATAACTACTACAACGCAAAGAAGATATTTAGCTGTTTCAATTTTAATATATACTAAAGTATATATACTATATATTAATATATAAAATATATTGTAGAACAGGTATATTGATATTGATTTGTATAAAAATACGTATGCTGTTGGTGCATTGAATGATTTTAAAATCCTAAGTCGGCACATAGTAAAAGGTTGCCGCCTCCTCTACTACCACATTTTATTTCTAACAACTCCAACTTGGGAAATTTTATTCACTAATTAAATCATGACCTATTCAAGTTTGGCGTTAGCCGTTATCTTTCCTGAATATCCCCCAAGAATTTCACTTCTTGACCTTTCTTAGCCTAATATAAAACCATACAGTAACCATCTACCTTGAGTGGCTCTTTGAGCTTGTATTGGGTGAACAAAAAAAATCACTAAATCATTATTATCTCTCCCACTTCAAAAAAAAAAAAAAAATTCTTACGATCTAAAAATATTTTCTTACTTTAAATAACCTGGAAAGGGTTGATAAGCCGTAAAAAACGAATCAATCAACGTTTAATTTTAGTTTTTATATTGAATTATATCTTATATATAAACACGTCAGGGAGTTATGTTTACACAGCACTATTGGGCGGAAGAGCTGCAGAGGCGGCCAACAGCTAGAACGGAGGGCGTCCCCAGATGGACTCAGCGGCCTAGTGTACGAACCGAAGGCGACCCACACCATATTCCATAGTCTTATTCCTTATTCTATCATTCCTTATTTCATCCATATTTGATTCTCATTCATATATATTAAAACATTAATAGTGGACAGTAATCGCGAGCTTATTTCATCTTCTATGTGCTGTATACCTTCAGGACGTAGGTGATCATGGTTCTCCACAACCTCCTATCCTTTATAGCTCTCAGTAAGGTTTGTCTTCATATCACTGCCCTCCCCTGTTATGTCATTTATTTACACAAACTTGTTACGTACGCTGCCCGCTGTTCACCCCGTCTCTCTTGTTTTCAGTATGTAATGTGTGTCAAATTCTCCAAACCTTCTTTCCTCATTATGTATCCTAGAAATTTCAACTTTTTCTTTCTGATTCTAATTGATCTTTTCGTTTTCTTTTAACACTTTCTTGTTAGTCACGCGTCTGGTCCAATGTATTCTCACTATCCTACTGTAGAACCATATCTCTTTTACCTCAAGTTTTCTCCCCATCCGTGAGGAGAGGAGACTGTCTAGTATTCAGTGCCACCTAGGAGGACTGATAATGCATAACAGTTCAGCACTTGTTTCTTTTGTTTTTCTAACAAACATTTTTCTCTCTCTTAATATTTCGGGTAACATTTGGAAGACATTTTACGATGACATTTTTTGTCGTCTGTTCGCCCCCCACCCACACATTCTGAAAACCTAGCTACACGACACAACTTTTGGCGATTAGATTCCTATTTACAATACCGATGCATTAGATGCAGTATGATATTTAAATTTTGAGGGTCGTTTGCCGCGTCTTATCCAGCAAATATGGAATTTACAATCGAATATTTTTCCCATTCTGCTCCTTAATGTAATTCACGCTGCAATAAGTCGACAAAGTGAGATTTTCTTATCAAATGCCTGGATACTGGAGCCGTAATTAGAAGGCAATTAATTCCGTTTAAGGTGAAAGATTAGGCGCGAAGAAAAGGCTTTAGCATCGATTAAACGAGGTGAAGGGAGATTTGGCGCCAAAGCAGAGGATACAGATGTGGTTTATTTAAAGGGAAAATATCTCCCAAACAATCTGGTGTTCTCGTTAACTTCATTTCAGCCATGCTCCTAAAAATAAAGGCTGCTTCCATCTTGAACGTTCCGTCAATAGAAAATTCGTTGCTCTCGTTAAATGACTGGCAATGTTGATTGGGTCGTTCGAAAAATGTTGTCGCACTTTGAGAGACGAAGAAAAAAATCGATTCATATGCAGCAAAGGTTTTTTTTTTCTTTTTTAATAACCTAATAATCATTGCTATCAGAAATGGCGAAAGGTCTCTATGATAATATATTTTTAATTCCTACTTGAAATAAATATAAAATTCTAGGCCAAACCATAATAATTTAAAAAAAAGTTTTCTCACTGACAGTTATCCGCTCATGCGAATAAATAAACATTCGAAGGACAGAAATCCAATGAAAAGGGATTTTTTTCAACTTCACGAATGGAGGCTCGCGTAGGCATACTTTCGAATGATAATTTCTTTCCTTTTTATGTGTCATGTCCTTTCAGGACGTAGACGATCATGGCTCTCCACCACCTCCCTCTATCCCTTGCAGCTCTCAACAAGTTCCTTCTCTCTGCTACCTCCCCTAAATCACGTTCTGCCATCTACTTGCTTAACCAGATAGGTATGTCATACATTGCTTTCCCTTGTCTCTCTTTCCCTCTATTCAACCCGTGAGTATCAAATTCTCCAGGCCCTCCTTCCTCATAATGTGTCCCAGAAACTTCAGCTGCCTCTTCATGATATTAAGTATAAGCCTCCTCCTTGTCTGCATCCTCTCTAAGAAGGACAGATGTAACAGCTCAGTATTCTTTTCTTTGTTACCAAAGAAATCCTCCTGTCACGCAATACTTTGCCCAGCTTTTGGAATGCGTCCTTGGCCATTCCAATACGTCTACGGATCTCATTGTTGCATTTACTGTCCGCTTCCCAATTATTTAGATTTACGCCTCTGCTTCATTCTAGTGAACACGACTAGCAAATCGCATTTCGAGCTCATCCTTTTACTGATATTGACCAAATCAGGGCATGGCTTTTCCCGAGTCTTCACTCTTTTCACACGCTGTTAACGTCTAAAGGAATTGTTTTTCTCACACTAAGAATTCGTAAGAGACAAAGAGATTACATTGGCGGTTGAAAAGGACTTTAAGCTTTGCTTTAGACATGGGCAGTTTTTTTTTTTTTAAGTCCCAGATTGTTTCGGTAAAGAGTGAAAGATTTGATATATAGAAGTCTGCCATTCGTCCATGTTTTGAATATTGCCGCCACATCTGGTTTGGTGCTCCTGCTATATATTTAGAAATTCCTGATAAAATCCAAAGAAGAATCTGCATTGTTATTGATCCTGACCTGGCATCTCGGCTTTCGTCACTTTCCCACCGCTGTAACGGAACTTCCCTGTGCCTTTTCTATAAATATTTTCATGGTAATTGTTCTGAAGAACTTTCCTCTATGATACCTAGACTTTATGAATTTAATCGCAGTACTAGATTGGCGGCAAGGTCTCATCATTTTACAATTGAAATGGCTTGATATAACCGTAAGTTCTATGCGTAATACGTAAGTCTCTTGTACCCGAATGTCAATGTCAATAGTTATCTTCTAACATCTTAATTCCTGTCCTTGTATTGTTCTTACACATTAAAAGTATTTTTCTCATATTCAATATCTCCTTGCATCATAGTGGTTTTATTGCCTTCATTGGAGTGAAATGATAAAAAAAAATCATTTTTTCAAACCCCAAAATGCGGCATTATTTATCGAACAAAATATTGCGCGTGTCTGCATTCTGTTTTAAAAATTAAATGAAAAGTAGATAAATAAATAAAAATGATTGATTGATTCGTGTTTTACGTCTTATCAACCTTTTGCATGTTTTTTTAAACCAAAAAATATTTTTCGATTGGAAGAATTTTTTAGATAATAATGGTTTAGTGATACAAGTCTTACTAATTAACCCATAGCTGGGGAGAAAAGAGGTAGATTCATACCTTTTTCAGGGTGATTTACGAGCAAGTGAATGTAACGAACCCAACACGTCTTGGAACTTGGCTCTCCGAATAACAGTTCCATTACACCAGCCACATATCCAAACGGTCACCCATCTAGGCAATGGCCAAGCTCGACGTTGCTTAACTCGTCCGCTAAATAATTAAAAGAATCCGAAATAAACGTCGCGGGCAAAAATGAAGACTTTCATTCTGATCGGTAATGATTTGCGTTGATAAGACATTTTTTTTTTTTTAAATTCGAACCAGGAGCAAATCATATATTATTATCCAACCGGTTTGTTAACCGCTGATAAAGCAATAGCAACATTAATAACAACAAAAGCAACAACATTAAAAGCAACAACAATAAAATCAAAAACAACAAAACGAATTAGAGCTGCGCACAGAGGTGAGAATCTCAGACATGGCGATTTTTAGTTAAACGTCTTACACATTTGATCAGAGCGTATTTATATCTCCAAATGATCTATCCTGATATCAGATATTCTTTCTCCATGGATATTTGAAATTTTAAACGATATTACGATATATATATATATATATATATATATATATATATATATATATATATATATATATATATAATCACATAACCCCATGCAAGGCAACAAAGTTACTAAGACACAAGGGGTTAATGAGTGTGAAAGAATAAAAGAAAAAGAGAAACATTACTAAGGAGCGAGAACAATAGAAGAGTAATCAAGAAGACACACCAGATAGCGATTGACATTGCATTTAAATTTTTGAAGATCAAAGTTCACTGGAAAGCATGGATCCGAATATATATATATATATATATATATATATATATATATATGGAGTGGGGAGAGAGAGAAAAGGGTAGAAACGTTTT